TCAAATAACAAGAGGGGAACCTGTGGCTCAGTCAGTTAAGAGTCCAACTTCAGCTCAGGTCATGATCTCCCGGTTCATGGGTTCAAGCCCCGTGTCTGGCTTTGTGCTGACAGCTCAGAGCCTGGAGGCTATTTCAGGTTCTGTGTCTCCCTCTCTCTCTGATCCTCCCTTGCTCATGCTCTCTCTCTCTCAAAAACAAATAATCATTAAAAAAAAAATAAGAAGAACAAGGAAAGTAGAGTTGGATAAAGAGGATTATAGCTAAGAGGACCTCACAGACCATGGAGAATTTCAGGCAGACACCAGCCAAGGTTCAAACTCCTTACATACTCATCAGCTTTGGGGGTGGCCCAATCTACCCTTCAGAGAACAGACTTGGGGTAGAGATCCACACAGGCCCCTGGAGATGGGCCAAGGCCCTTGTGCAGGAAATTCCAGAATTCTAGGTACCAGGATAGGGTCTGAAGGGGCATGGTGAGAGCACATGGCTGCATTGCCTCGTCCTGCTAACGACTCTTTCAATGCAGAGACATGTGGCTAGAGATGGGCCAGAGCAGGGTCCTCAGAAACACAGGTCCAAAGCAAGGCCCTCTTCTTTAGATAAAGGTAGCCCTGAACTAGGAAAGGCAGTGGTCCTTGAAAGACAAAGGGGTGCAACACAAGAAAAATCAATGCGTGCACCAATTTAAACATTAAATGGCTGAGGGCTAGTCCCCCCCCCCTCCGCCGCCCCCTTCTATCTCTAGATGTTTGAATGACCTGAACTTCACTGGGCTTCAGTTTCCCCTTGTATAAAATGATGTCACTATGAGTCACATTACATGGGCTCTGCTAATGTGCAATTTGACTCTAAGCTCTGACAGCTCCCCACATGAGGGCAGAGGAGAGGGCCCGGGGCTCACAGCCCTCCTGAGGCAAGAGCCAAATACAAAATGAGAAGCGCAAACTGACCCACCAATGCCTAAAACACAGTGTGGGGCAATTTGTGTGTGTCACCTGCGCGGGGTTTCTCTGAATGGGACACGGGCAAGGCCATCCAGATAGCCTGCGGCTTCGAAGGGTGGATCCTGAGCACAGGGAAGCCAGCACGAGATGGCCCGGCAGCCACACACCCAGCCCTGCCTGGACCTGACAAATGAAAATGTATTTCCTGACTGAGCCAGGCAGACGGGCCCCCTGGGAAACTGTCTCTCCCTCATCTCACACGTTTCCTGATGGCATGCAATTAGCCGACCACCTTAGCACAGCGAGTGTGAAGGTTCTTTCACACTGCTTGGCTCTGCTCTGAGAGCCACCCAGGTAAGGCTGCAGACGTGTTAAGAGCATGTCTTCATTTTCGCTCCTGTCTTCTCGCTCTTCCAGCTTCCCGAGCTCAGATAAAAGGGTCTCTATGCCCAGAAACTGGCAATGTGTTAGGTGGCTGTTGCTGAGTCCAGGATAAATGGGAAAGATTCAGGATTGACTTATAATCTGGGCACTCACTTTTATCTAGAGAGATGCAAAAGTCCCTTGTGGGGTGTGACACAGAAGTGGTAAAGTGCAAAGATAATCTTCCTTTAATTCGGTCAAAGAGGAAACACCCAGTCACCTTTCCCGCCATGTCCTGCCATGGGTGACAATGGCACTACTCTAGTGACCCAGGACCCTGTCCATGTAGAGCCGTCCCACCTCTGTCCAGCTCCCTCCAAAGGATGATAATTCGAGAAGCATGGCCAGGAACACAAACACAGGTGTGTGTTCATTAGGCCCTGCCCTGTACTTAGTTCAAACACTGGGTCACTATGTGGTATTATGTGAGCAAAGGGACCGGAAGTCTCCCCTGACCACACGCCCAAAACACCAACTCCTTATGACTGGTGTAGGGCAGGAGAATGGCGGGGTTTACATTATAGGCCATGTGATTGGTGCAGTGTCCTCTGAGCAAGGTCAGACCCTTGGCAGGGAACAGACAGAGAAGGGGGAAGAAGCTGGGGGGAATGCAGATGTACCTTCCCTGTCTCAACAAGAGCAGCAAAATCCATGCTAAGGTGATCTGTGGGAAGGGGCGCCTGGGTGGCTCAGTCGGTTAAGCGTCGGACTTCAGCTCAGGTCATGATCTCATGGTCTGTGAGTTCAAGCCCCGCATCAGGCTCTGTGCTGACAGCTCAGAGCCTGGAGCCTGCTTCAGATTCTGTGTCCCCCTCGCTCCCTGCCCCTTCCCTGCTCACACTCTGTCTCTCTCTCTCTCTCAGAAATAAACAAACATTAAGAAAAAATTTTAAGATAATCTGTGGGGATCCGAGTATAGATTAGTCAAGCGTCAGCCATGACCACCGTAAAAGAAGGGTTGTCCATCAAGGAGAAGAAAGTTCCGAAGAGGCAGAACACACAGAGCACTCGAGGGACAGAGCAGGGCACCAGTACCATGAGGTAGGTTGCTTTTTTACCAGTGGAGATTCCAGTAAATGACTGGGAAAAGTTTCCACACAGTTAGTAAAGAAGAAAAGGAGAAAATCATTATTGACTCTCATCACTGAAGAATATGAGATGTGCTGACCCCCAAACTCAAATATACCATAAGTTCCCATAACCCATATTCTATAATAACTAACGTCCGATTAAAATGGCTGTGGCCCTTATTTAAAAAGATAAAAACAATCGGCAAAACACAGATTGCTGTTACACAGAATCCGACGTGCCTTATGTCAATGTTCCTCACAGGATGGCTCTTTATCAAAATCTAACAGAAATAAGGATTCCGTAGAAATTTAATTCCTGATATGAAAATGTGTCCAAAAAAAAAAAAAAGAAAATGTGTCCAGTGTCTCCTGTTAAGTGGAAAAAGTTTCTTAACAAGACAGGATGCATATACGTATAAATACACACATATATAATATCACAAAATACCAAAATATCTCTGCGTGAAGAGATTGCAATTTTTTTCTTTTTAACTGTGGTTTCTGATTTTTTCTACAATGGGAATATATTACGTGTGTGGGGGGGGTTAAAATTTAAAAATATGGTATAGGAGGGTCAGCCTGGAGAGGGCAAGGGAGGCATTTCCCAGGAAAAGGGGGCAATGGAGCCCTTATCAGAATCAAGCTGGTCCCTAGCACAGCCCACAGTGCACCTCTGCTGCCCCCTTGTGGTTGGGAGAAGACCTGGCACGCGCAGCCCCTAGACCAGAAGGCTCCTGGACGGAACTCCAAGGTGATCTTGGATAAGTTCCTCTTTCCCTTTTCACCAGTTCATGGTGTGGATTTGTCCCACTCATGACCATGGGGCTTCTGCAGCAGCAAGTGCCATACCGCGCATGGGCACACTATCTGTTCAGGAGGCTAACAAGATGGATACAGACTCTGGTGGGGGTCCAGGACCCAGAGATCCACTATGGCGGGGTGAAGGTGCAGATAAGAAGGGGTGAAGCCCCAGGAGACTAATGGCCAAAGGGAACCATGAAACCAGAATCCTAACGTGGTATTGGACACCGTCTCCTTTGCCTCAAGGGAATCAAGGCGATAGCACATGGAGCTGTTGACGTTTATTTACTTCTGCCATCTGTCTACAGGGCGTTTGAGGTGATTGCCCTTGATCTGCCACTTGAGCACACATTCCCAGAAATGCAGAGGATAGCCCAGTGGGGTCACAATGCCCGATGTTCCCAATGATAGTAATTTTAACTTCTGAGCAAATAAGCCTGCTGTTCAAGCGTCAAGCCACAAAGATGGGAGCCATATTTAATGTTACCATCAAATGATGTGCTAACAGATACTACCTGATCCTTAACAGCTGAAAAATCACCATTAGGCATTTATGCTAAGCCTTAAAATGATTAAATAATATTTTTCTTACCTAAAAGTCTATTTTTCTCCACTTGGATTGTTTATAACAACTAAGGGCAACAAGATCCCCTGACTAATGAACACTTTAATTCTTAAAGCATAAGTAGGCGCTGTATGTGTACACACACAAACACATGCATTCTGGATTAAACTCCCCAGCCCTAACCCTACACCTCAACCCCTTCCTCTTGCAGATGACCCAGGACAATGCTCAATATGCTTTGCCTATACTGAGGTTCCAGAGCCAGACTGACTGCAGTTAAATGCACCTCTCGCATTTACTGTGTGACCTTGGGCAAGTGACCTAACCATTCTGAGTCTCAGCGATCTCCTCTATTCAATGGGGATATTAAAAGGACCACCTCATAGGGCTGTTGGAAGGTTACATGAGTTAATATCTGTGATGCAATGAAAAGAGTACCTGGCAAGAAAGTGCTAGAAGAACATATTAACTCATTCTGTCCTGTGGTTACTTTTTAAAATGGGTTTGAGGGACACCTGAGTGGCTCAGTTGGCTAAGCCTCTGACTCGATTTTGGCTCAAGTCATGTCCTCCCGGTTCATGAGATGGAGCGCTGTCAGCATGGAGTCTGCTTGGGATTCTCTCTCCCTCTCTTTCTGGCTCTCCCCAGTACATACATGCACTCTCTCAAAATAAATTAGAAAACTAAAAAAAAAAAAAAGTGTCACTTCTTTTAAAAAAAATAATAAAATGGGTTTGAAACGTAACGAATGAGTGAATTTTTATAAGCAGTAATTAAAAAGACAAACTTGATTTTCTCTTTTCACTAATAAACACCATTTGTTACTAAGACTGAATGACGATGAAGTGGCCTGGCCCTCCCTGGCCACCTCGAACATTTAATGTCATTTTTAGAAGAATCGGATTTATCCAACCTTGTTCTCTCCCAAGCTTCCTCCTTAAGCCCCTCATCAGAACCCTGGTAGGAGTGGCTCTTCCCCAATCCCATATGTTTTACTAAAGAACGCGCATGTGTGTGTATGTGAGTGTGCAAGTGCACATGTGTGGCGGGAACAGGTGGGTGGAGCATGGCTGTCCCGGACACCTTGGCACAACTACCCCCTCAGTGCGCTCTCCCCCACTTCCCTCCTGCTCTGCCCCTCTTTCCGCCCTTGCCATTAGGCCCTTTGAAGAGGTCCTTACTCCAGCGATACTCACCTGTTGGTGTTCTCCAGAACCTCTACCTTCTTCCGAAGCTCCAAGTTCTCAGTTGAACAAGACTCCACCCTGCAGAGGAGAGAGAAAGAAGGCAGTTAGCTATGTCAGTAGAGCAAATGTGAGGCCAGGAGCCAGGGTGAGAGAAGGAGCTGTGGGCATCTCTCTAGGCAATTCCCTAGCTACTCTAGGGAGGTGAGGGAGAGAGCCTGGCCAGCCTGAATTGGGAAGAAGGGTAAGAAGACAAAAGAAAAGAGAGAGAGAGATGAGTAGTAAGTGCCTCAGTAATGGAAAACGAATAGAGATGGTACAAAATGTAAACTCCTTCTGGTGTGTTCCAGCCTTACTTCCTCTCACCTCATCCCTATTGCTCTCAACACCTGTTATCCGTCTCCCTCTACTACAAGGGCCTGGCTGCTGCTGGCTCTACCCCTGGCCTGGAGGACTGATAGGAAGCCAAAGCGTTCGGGACAGGCTGAGAAGAGAGGACAAAAACCAAGCGCCTCAAGACAAGGAATCCAGGCGCAGGAGCGTATGCACGCCCCAAAGAGGCAATAAAGACCATCCTGACCCCGGATGCCTACGGAAATGGCTGGAACAGAATGGAACTACTTAATGCCAAACTACCAATACCTAAACCAGGACGGAGAAACAATAACTTCCAGTAGGAACTTCAAGAACCACCCAAGGATCCACTCCTTTCCCCAGACACACGGGAAGACTCCTTCCTGGGTCAGGGGCCTCATTTGCATCTGAAAAGGATAGGTGTTTGTCAGCTGAAGAACCATTCCTACCTAAGGCTAATATAAAGTTGTGTTTCAAGCCTACATCAAAAGCTAATACAAAGTTGCTGTTTTCCTAAGAGCCCTCCTGATATTTTGAGCTACTTGGAAGAACAAAAGATGCCTTCGAGTGTCTCCGTGAGAAGTCGCTAGCCTGTAGCATGAATTATAGTAGACAAAAAATAAAGGACACCAGCCCAACTTACTGCCCTGCCTGTGTGTTTCTCTATGGTGTGAGAGAAGTGGACAAAGGAACTGATTAATTAGCACTGCCCTTTCCACTGAAACAGTGCTTCTCCTCCATGGAGCGTTCCAGAAACATGAAGGAGTGTTAACATTTACACTTGTTTGCAAGGAAGCCTTCAAGGCCCTAAGGAACTTTGGTTAGAACGCTGTGGTATAAATGCCTACTGAGTGTACTTTTTACTTCCGGCCAAACTTACCAAGTTTGCCCTCTAAACACCACTAGGTGGCAGGCAAAACATAGGTGATGACCAGTGGGCCTGAATGGTGGCCAGAATGAACTTTGCTTCTCTTAGAAACCCCAATGCTTTGCACACCCTCGTTTCCCCATGTGTGTCACCCAGTAAACACACCCAGTTTTGCAGGAGGCTTACTTTTTCTCCAAGCTGTCCATGTATTCTTTCTTCTTTCTCCTACTTTCCTGGGCAGAAATCTGAGATATAAGGGGAGAAAAAAAGGATTCACTTCCTGCTGTCTCAGTAAGTCAGTTATGTGCAAATGGAAGAGAGGAGTCCATTAGCACAGAAATCACCAGAGTCCTGCTCGCTGTTGTAGCCACTCTTCAGTTATTTAACCTGCTGACTCATCTGTGAATCACGTCTTCTGACCACCCTGGTTTCAACCAGCCCGTGTTCTCACCAAACTAGGCCCCGAGTGGGAAGTATGGAGGGCGAGAGTCACAGACCACTTGTATGGTCTTGGGTAACTGAATTCAACTCCGTGTGCCTTAGTCGGCTCAATTATAACAGTTTCTCTTAGAAACTAAGAGAGTTGGGCTTGGTCGTACATAACCCCCCACCCCCCACTGGTTCCGCACGTGGACCAAGAGCCATAACTGAACTCTTTCTGTCTTCCTTTCTTTGCCTCCTCCCTCCTGCCCTGCTTGTGCCCTAGTCATGCCCCTGGGGCTCACCTGTAGGGGCTTAGGGCTAGGAGACTCCGGAACAGTGGACTGCAGATTTTTTTAAATCAAAAACCCAGGAAAGAAAGAAATTAAACAAACACCCATAATGTATTTATCTTTATTTATAAATTATGTACATGCCTCCAAGAGAGAAATATTGTATACATCACAAAACAGAAGGCTGGTTCTGTTTTAGGTAAAGAAAAAAATGAATGGGAGTTCTACTATTTTCCTCTCTCCCCTGAATGCATCACCAGGGACACCCAGGAGCATGCACACCCGATCTGCGGCCCACTGACCCAGAGGATGGGTGGAGGGGCTGGAAGAACACAGGGGTGTGTCGTGCCTGCGTTCTTGCTCCCCAACTAGGGGAAAGGCAGGGCTGCGTCTTGTCCCCGTCCACGGGACAAGCCATAGTTGGTCACTGGAAGAGGGGACTAGGGACATGCAGGCTCACTTCTGGTCACAGTCTCTGCTCATAGAAGCACTTCGATTTAGGGCACCTGGATGGCTCAGCTGCTTAACTTCCGACTCTTGATTTCGGCTCAGGTCATGATCTTGTGGTTTGTGGTTTGAGGGAGGGATTATCTCTCCCTCTCTCTCTGCCTCTCCCCTTTCTCTCTCTCTCTTAAATAAATAAATAAACTTAAAAAAAAAAAAAAAAACCGGAGCAGGATTTAGGTTTGAAAGGCTCACCTTGTTCTTGATTTTCCTCCGAATTTTCTTCAGAGCCTTCTCCTCCGATTTTGTTAGAGGCAACTTGGTGGGGATGGGATAGCCCTCGGCGATCAGGGTCCTCTTCTCCTCTTCTGTCAGGACTAGTGGGCCTGATCCTTGAAGTTTCTGTGAAGTTCAAGGGGGCAGAAGAGGGTCAAAACAGAGCAACTGGGAACACTGAAGAAACATTCAAACGCCTGAGAGAAAAAGATGCCCACGTGCTTTGGGTGAGAAACGAGGACCTTGTAGTGGAAGCAAAGACGGGGAACACACCATCACATGACCGTTACACCCCGAGGATTACCATTCAAGGGAGACGGTAGAGAAACCTCCACCCATCAGTTCCCAGAAAGTACCCCACTGGTGAAAACCTCAAAAGGAAAACTACAGGGTTCATCTCTCACATCTCTCAAGATTTCGTGGCATTGCAGTGATGGAGGATTCACGTGGAGCTCCGTTTGTGAAAGAGTTTTGTTCTCCTGAAAATGCAATTTTGCAAGTTGCTCTCCACACACCAGGGGTCACTTCTTGTCCCTCACTGAGAGCTAAGGGACCAGAAATGTACCTGCAGGAACATCCTATTGAAGTCTCTGGCTTCAGTAGAGCCCAGATTGTCCACCATCAGTAAAGATCAGGACTGTAGCTCATCTCATTTAGCCCATAAGACAATGACGTGTCTGCAAGTGATCAAACGAGCTACATGCCGACTGCGTATGAGCCTCACATTACATTTCATGGAACCCTCAACACAAACCGGCTCTCTCAGGTGGGAGCTCCTGCTCAAGATGGAGACTGAATGGACCCAAGAAAGGGTGACGGCAATTAAACGTTACACTGTAATAGGAGCTCAAGGTGCGTTCAAAATCTAGAGAAAGAGACACTTCTATGAATTTGTGTGATAAGAAAAGGCTTCGGGTAGGAGATGAGACTTGAATCGTGCATTCTAAAAGGAAGGCATTCCAAGCAAAAAGCAATATTTTGAAAACTGAATGAAGATGCTGCTCCGGAATGGATAAATTCTTGAAGCAGCAAAGGGTCGAGGCACCCAGTACAGAATAGAGGTATTAGGGTTTGATACCAAGAACTAACAGAGAAACGCAACAGGCTCTGCGGGTGTGACACTGGGAGGATTTCTTCCAGAAACATGTAGACTGGATTGACTGTGGGAGGGTAAACAGATATATAGGACGAAAGCTATTCTAGTTACCAAAGGGGTGAGGAGTTGAGTTAGAGCTGGTAAAGAGAGACTGGGAAAAGTTAATTCCCTCATCCTTGGTAATGGTGAGAGAAATGAATGTGGCCACAGATCTAGAACTTTCTGGGACACAGTGAATTTAAATTTTCAAACTTAAGTTAATTGACAGATGGTTCTTACAGAATTTTTCAGTATCTCATCCCATTCAAATGTTCTCTGTGATACAAATTAAATATTATATAAATTCCATAAGGTTGATTTTAAGTTTATAACTTTTCAGATTTCATAGAAATCAATGCACTCTTCAGAACAGTAAAAAGTTAATATCTAGCCCTATTTTTATCGGGAAAAAGGTGCCCTTATATATACTTCAAGGATGAATGGTGACTTGTCCTTTCTAACCGGGGTCTTTGCAGCAAGAACTGTACCACACGGGGGCGCCTGGGTGGCTCAGTCTGTTGAGCCTACAACTCTTGATTTTGGCTCAGGTCATAATCTCACAGTTCGTAGGTTCAAGCCCGGTGTCGGGCTCCACGCCAAGCACGAAATCTGCTTGGGATTCTCTCTCTCTCTTTCTCTCTCTCTCTCTCTCTCTCTCTCTGCTGTTCACCAGCTCATCCACATGCTCTCTCTCTCTCTCCCTCAAAACAAATAAATAAACACTAAAAAAAGAGAGAGATTTGTACCACACAAGAAAAAGCGTTAAGCTGTATTTTTGAGCTTTAGACATCAAAATGTTTAATCTCAGACACACTTTTAAGTTCATCAAAGATGCTATTTGAAAAATAAGTTATGTCCTCTTTCAGGCCACGGGGTCATCTAAAGTTATGGTAGATATTTATGACATGATTTTGAGGAGGAAGGCAGCACAACGTTTTTATCCCCTGTGCTGGTAGCTGTGTAAAATAGGCATATGAGTAACAGCCAGGTGTGCAGAGGGAAAGGAAGAGCATTGTGTTAGCACGGCCAGGTTATAGGCAGGTCTTCAAAAACGTTTAAGATGGTTATCACCCTGTTTTAGCAAATTAAACCTACAACTTCCTTACAAAAACAAACATCAAGTGGCCTTGAAGGGCACACACTCCTAGTGAAGGCCCAGGTGACCTCGGGGAAGGCGTGTCCAGAGACGCCTGCAGAGTACTCACGTGAGGCGCTGTGAGGAGGGGAGAGCTGGACAGGGCGGAGGGGGCCCGGGGCGCGGCTCTGGCGGGGCTGTGGGTCTGAGGCAGGCCGAAGGGGTGCAGGCGGGGGTTGGGGCTCAGGCTGCCCTCTGAGTCACTGCTGTGGCTGCTGGGAGGGGTGGGAGGTAAGTGCAGGTGTTCCACGGAGGCTGAAGAAAAGAAAGTGATTGCATCCATCAGACACCAATGAGCAGGACTTGGGGGAGGGTTAAACATCTGTACATCCATTCATGAAGGAGCTGAACCAAAGGCTGAGGATTCTGCAGGCGCTGATAATGGAAAGCTCTCCAACATATACTGGCAAGGGCAGGGGGTGGGGGAAATCAAAGTGCAGGACCGAGCATCAAGAGGCCCTCCTTTTGTATGAAAAAGGAGAGAAGGAGAATACACTCACATGTGCTTGTCTCTGCATCAAGAAACTGGAAAACACATAAGAAACTAATAAAATTATGACCTCAGGGGGGCAGCGGGAAATTAGGGTGGACAGGGATGGTGCGAGCAAAACTTCTCACTGTACCACTTCATATCATGTATATTGCTTGACTTGCAAACCATGTTAATGTATTAGGTACTTAAAAAAAAATCTTCTATAGGGGCGCCTGGGTGGCTCAGTCGGTTTAGCGTCCAACTTCGGCTCAGGTCATGATCTCATGGTTCATGGGTTCAAGCCCCGCATCAGGCTCTGTGCTGACAGCTCAGAGCCTGGAGCCTGCTTCAGATTCTGTGTCTCCCTCTCTCTCTCTGCCCCTCCCCCACTTGTGCTCTGTCTCTCTCAGTCTCAAAAACAAACAAACAAACAAAAAATCTTTTATACAAAATGAGCAAAACTTGGGGCCCAGGAGGGTTTCCAGTGGCTGCTTTGACAAAAGCTCATGTTTCTGAAGGAGTGTGAAGGGTAGGGGCCTGCAGGCAAGATGTCATCTGTTCTTCCTTCAGAGACTACGAAATCCATCTGCAGACAGGCAGACAGGCACTGGAAAATTAGCATGGGGGGTGGGGTCTTCCCGCTCCAATGGTCCCCTAGCATCTGACAGTCCACCCCTCTCCTCTCCTCAGGGAGTCACGGACACACTGGCTGCGTGGCTGTTACCACACACACACCTCCAGGGCAGCAGGGAGGAAGCGTCCTCTCTGAGTTCAACCTTTTTGACAAAAGAGCTCTCCTTTGTCCGACCTGTGGACGTTCTCACTACACTGGAATACCTTGAGAGCCAGCCACTGTTACTGAGCTGAGGGGCATAATCCAGGGTAAGCCTTTAACCCCACACCCTTCTGGGGCCCCCAGGACGACAGGGCCTTAGTACCACGCCTGGGCCAGAAAACCGCTTGAGGCCGCGAGAAGGCCTCAGCCTCTTCTTCTCTCCCACAGATAGAGACTGCCCGAGGTGCCATCAGGGGGAAAGGCCTTCTGAGGCACAACTGTCCTAAGGAAGTCGATCCCACCCACAGCTGCCTTTGGAGGTGACAAACAAGAACCAGGTGGTTCGCCCTTAAAACACCTGAATCTCCCAGGTAACAGGTACTGTCCCCCTCGGCCACACCCCCTGCCACCCTCCAGGCTCCTCACGCCACACATTTCTCTCTTCTGTCTTCTTCTATTTTTGAATTTATTTGTTTATTTTAATTTTTTTAAACATTTATTCATTTTTGAGAGATAGAGAGAGACAGAGTGTGAGCAGGGGAGGGGCAGAGAGAGAGAGGGAGACACAGACTCTGAAGCAGGGTCCAGGCTCTGAGCTGTCAGCACAGAGCCCAACGCGGGGCTCGAACCCACAAACTGCAAGATCATGACCTGAGCCGAAGTCGGATGCTTAACCGACTGAGCCACCCAGATGCCCCTTTAAATTTCTTTTTAATTTTTTATTTATTTCATTTATTGTTTTATAAATGTTTATTTACCTTTGAGAGAAAGAGCAGGACCATGACCAGGGGAGGAGCAGAGACAGACGGAGACAGAGAGAGAGAGAGAGAGAGAGAGAGACAGAGAGACCCACGCAGGATCCACATCAGCACAGAGCCGGTTACAGGGCTCGAACCCGTGAGCCGTGAGATCATGACCTGAGCCCTCTCTCTGTCTCTAACCTTGTTTTTCTCCTTTTCTAACATCCTACCTTTCACTCGCTGCTTCCCTTTTTCTCTGCCAAAGTCCTGCCAAAGAGCTCCCTGGGTTTTTAATGTCTTTTGGTATTCTTAAAGTGAAAGAATTTTTTTTTGGTAATTTTTTTCAATGTTTATTTATTTTTGAGACAGAGAGAGACAGCACATGAGCAGGGGAGGGGCAGAGACAGAGGGAGACAGACTCGGACGCAGGCTCCAGGCTCTGAGCTGTCAGCACAGACAGAGCCCGACGCGGGGCTCGGACTCACAGACCGCGAGATCATGACCTGAACCGAAGTCGGACGTTTAACCGACTGAGCCACCCAGGCGCCCCAAGCTAAAGAATATTCTAAAACAATCCATATATCTCTAGTGCCAACACCTCTGCCAACAGCTCCAGGTGCCTGAAATATGTGCCGACCCAGAAAGGAGTCCTGGAAGAGTTCACTAACATGTGGAATGACTTGCACACGGAGGCCATGAGGCTGGGGTGGCTTTACCGCCATGGCCTGTGCGAGGAGACCCAAGATCAGTGCCCGTAGATGCTTCAAGGTTACCAAATTGAAACCTAAGGACAACCAATTCACAAACAGCCAATTAGGCTTCAAGCTACAGCCAATCAATAACTTCCTCACTTTGCTTCCGCCAATTATAAAAGCCTCTCCCTGAGCCCCCGCTGGTGGGATGCTCCTAACCGCTTCTTGTTTGGCACTGCCAGCGGGAGTACGGTTTTGTTCAAACAAACTCCTGAGAATTTTTAATATATCTCAGTTTATCTTTTAGCAATGTTAAAAAAAGACCCCCAGACCCAGGAGCAAAACCCATTAGGGGTTCCCACTGCCTACCACACTGTGCTGTTACATTCTGGAGCACTAGCCACATTCTTATTTGTCCCTTTCACTTCAGCACAGTCCAAATTATTCTAATGCTTTTCTCCTTTGCAAGCAGAAGGTACTCCAGACACGAGGGAAATGGCATGACATGAAAAGTGAAGGAAACGTGAATCCCCTCTTTCTTACTTATTAAGAGCCACTGACCTGGCTATCAGTGCCTTGATATCAGATTTCTAAATATCATTTGAAATGCCGGTCTCAGATTACTTGCAAGGTCTGGGGACAGCAAGCTACTTTGCCTAGAAACTCCACTGCACACAAGGATATTGAGTTTCCTTCTCTCTGTTTATCTAGGATAATGAGGAAGGACTGCCTGCCACTTACTTTACTCTTGAAACCTTTCCCCTCTAGTGAGCCCAGACTCCGAAGCCACGCAGGGATTCATTGTTACAGTGAGGACGCTTTCTGAAGCATAGTGCAACATAAACCAAGAGAGCAAGATGCATTTGACAGCTTTCATGAAAATGAAAAGAATTACTTTAGAACAGGATATAAAGCTGCAAGGCGCTGATGGATAACACCCAGTGGAAAGAAACACGGTGTCTATAGGGATTCTGGTCGATAATACTGATTTTAAAAATGTAGTCATTTCAGGGGCGTCTGGGTGGCTTAGTTGGTTAAGCGTCCAACTTTCGCTTAGGTCATGATCTCGCGATTCGTGGGTTCAAGCCCCGCGTCGGGCTCTGTGCTGACTGCCAGCTCAGAGCCTGGAGCCTGTTTCAGTCTGTGACTCCCTCTCTCTCTGACCCTCCCCTGCTCACGCTGTCTCTCTCTCTCTCTCCTAGAAGTAAATAAAACATTAAAAAAAAAAGAATTTGTTAAAAAAATAAATAAATAAATAATGTAGTCATTTCTTACTGATAATAAAGGCAAATGCCAGCCCTGATTAAACAGTTGCAGATAAAATCCTGAGTTAGTCTCTCGTACAATGAAGTGCTGATGCCTTCATGAGAAACGCTCGTATGTAACACCCACCCATTAAGTACACAACGTAACACAGAGGCCTTTTCTATGGCAAAGGCAGAAACTAAGTTTTTACTTGTTGGTCATACTAATGAATTGTCCTTCTAACCATGTACCAAAGATACACAGAAGGCAGGTCCCAAGGCACAGAATTAAGAAATGCAGGACCCACACAGGGGCATCTCATTAAAAAAAAAAAAGGTAAAGAAAGCTTCCTTGTACTCTATGACACTTGCAGGTCAGTGTTCAGCATTCCTAACTATGGGCTGCCACTGAGAACAAGATGGAGAAGCCAGAAAGAAACCAACACAGAGAAAGAAAAAGTGAAAAGTATGACAACTTCAAGTCTGACATTATTCTGTTCCAAATGAATGGCAAGACGCCCAGTGAGATGCAGGAACTAATTTAGTAGGGAAGAGGCTCTTTGCAACTACTGTCATTTAAAGTCAATATTTACTTTTTATTAAAAAATTTTTAAAGTATATTTATTTTGAGAGATAGCAAGCAGGGTAGGTGCAGGGAGAAGGGAAAGAGAATCCTAAGCAAGCTCCATGCTGCAGCACAGAGCCTGATGCAGGGCTTGAACCCATGAACAACAAGCTCATGACCTGAGCCTAAATCAAGAGTCGGACACTTAACCAACAGAGCCACCCAGGTGCCCCTAAAGTCAATAATAAACAATACTGAATGATCAGACAAATTGTGAATTCACTTTACAAAGGGTTTAAACTCAAGTTGTTTTAAATAGGCAAGGTGTCTTTGTGGATGTTTGTTTATTTGCCACTACTCATCACCGAGGCAACACAGGGAACTGGGCTTGATTCACACATTCACACCCAAAAAGGCAGCACTTGGCGTTCGTCATCAGCACCCAAGTCATAGCTGACTATAAAGTTTTTGAAAAAACACCCCTGCTAGGAGTGGAAGTAAATGAAAAGATTTAGCATCAAGGATTCAAGCATATACACATATTTAGGTAAAAGATTTAAGTATATACATATATAGGAAATTAAATTTTGGCTTTCAAAGTTTGTTTTTATAATCAAGGTCTTAAAGCACTGAGCTATTTCAGAAAGCAAGCTATGCCTGCGGGACAAATTACTCCCAGCGCTTTCTCCCTCATTCCCTCTCTCTTTAGACTGTGTTCAGACATCTGGCAACCCCAAAGGAAGGCAGGGAGAGTAGACAAACCTTCTTTGGGAGAGAAGTTTAGGAACTGATCCACTTCATGAGGCTCCAGCTTAATCTTAGGAATAATTGTCTGGCATGAGGAATCCACCTAAAGGAAGAATTACAAACACAGTTTTTAAAAACCGGTAACAACCACGTAGGATCATCAGGGAAGCTGGTTATTTGTTGTCTGTGTCTTCCTCTCCAGGCAGCCCTGCCTCCCTGTGCGGTCAGAAACCTGGCTGAGCCCAGGCTCCTTCTTTGACAGGGAGGCGACTTTGCTCTTAACCTTTCTCTCACTGCCAAACCTGTCACTACAGCTCACGAAACACTCAGAATTCCAAAATTTAAAAATCAGGGTGGATTTTATGGGAACATAAAGGCATTTTATCATGAAATAGTCTGGTGAATTTGTAAAGGGCCACAGGCCTCCCTCCACCAGTTTTTCCTACAGCAGGAACGGCATGAACCAAGCTGCATCCATTCCCCTCCAGGCTTCCTCCTGATTGAAACATCTAACCATGCAACACTCGGAACAGAAAGGACAAAAGGTCTCTGGCCCATGAGTGAAGCAAGACCATGCCCCTGACCTTTCTTAGTTACATACTAAAACATTGACTAAATGAACGTCTCATGGAGCAAGGAGACTAATACCCATTCTAGAAGCCCAGTGCAATGAACAGGTCCAGGCAGCGAGTGAGAAAGAAATTCTAGAAGACACTGTAGAGGTGCTCTGTTCACGGTCCCTCATCTTTTCTAAAATGGGTTGTCAAGTGGACTAAAAACAAATATGGCGGCTCTACTCTTCTATGTAACCTCTTCCTGAACAGGTACAGGTAGATATTACACCTTGCCCAGAGGAGATCTGGCTTAAAGAACATCAGTGGAGCCACTGTTTATAACCCTTGGCTTTGAACTTTAGGAAAGGTAGGGATGGCTTCCAACATCTAGAAGAAGATATATGAGTATGATTCTGGTCTATCACTAGATACCGGAAATATCTGGAGAGAAGGTGGAGCGAACTAAATTCTACTTGCTATAGGCATGAAATCAAACAAGGAAAAAATTACCAATTTTGTCTGTTTTCCATGGGTAATATAATAAATGCTGTTAGGTTGGAGAACCTTGAACTGGGTCAGGGCAGCTCTGCATTGCACTGGGAAAGTAAAATGTTACACAGGAACCAACATTCTAGTTAGCCACCACAGGCAAGCCGTGGATTGCATCATCATTTAACCCCTCTCTTTCCACTGGCTTAACATGGAAGAGTTTTTTTTTTTAACTATAGATACCCATCTATTTTTTTAAATTTTGTAATAGCAATCATCAGAAAAATGAAATCAGACTTGCTACCACTTTTTCTGAACAATGTCTTTAAAGGGTGTAATATAATCAACACTGACCCCAATATGTATCAATACATGTACACATATGCAATTACATATCCTTAAACATATACAGTCACCAGCTCTAAAAAGGTTAAGTGCCTTATTGGAGAATGAGGATCCATATCTTTTGATCTACTGTGTGTGGATGAAAGAAAATGGAGTATACCCCAGTATTCAGTTCCAGCGGGGGCTCCTCCTTTTCAAAAGGGGTGGAGATGGCCGTGATGGTCAGAGTGACAGAGGGAACAAGTCCTGGGGGCGGCTCCTCTGTAATTGGCTCTGTCTTGATGGTCGTGGATGGAAAGTCTGTAGACAGATACCATTTCTCACTTTCCACTTCATCTACAGGAAAAAGACAAGCACACATATGAATTCGTTCAGGATATCGGATGTAAGTAAAACAAATGACCACTAAGCTTGCTCCTCCTCAAAACACAGCTCCAACAATAAAGAATACAATAAGAGGAAATCAAGTGAGAGTGTGAAAGAGGAGAGACATGGATAAAGAAATGAATGGCAAAGTAAAAATCTATGCCTGCATTTGCTTGAGTGTAAGTTTGCTGAAATAAACTACAGGGATACATGCCAAAGAAAGAAGGCTGCCCTCCTGGTCAGGGCAGGAAGGAGACTGGATGGATCGGGAATAAGACGGGAGGAGGAATCTCCATGTGTGACGTTTTGCACTATTCAGTTTTTCAAACTAAGTCAATGTGTGATCTATTCAAAACTACAGGAGTACATTTAAAATTAAGAAACAAACGGTTTGAAATCAGAATCTCAGGAGAGACGACTGGGACCATGGATAGGTGGCCTCTATTCTTCTCCCAGTGGACAGTTACTTTTCTTTTTTTCCTTCTTTCTCACTCCCTGTTTCCGTCCTTCTGTTTCCCTATGGCCCCACTTCTAAGCCTGGCCTAGAATTCCAGAATTTAACTTAGCCCTCTGCAAAACTTCAGAGTTTATAATAAACATCTGCCTTCGCTGAAATGGATCAACCACCTACAGAAAAGGGTTAGATTTTGGCCAAGGGTGGATCTTGGCTTTCATGATTATCACGGGCCCGTGGATTGTGACAAAACATTAGGAACAGACAGAAACACCTCGTCCCTTAACCAACATTCTTCTAGGCACTTATGTCCACCTATTTCTTACCAAATTACTTCAGCGCTACTGACAGCACAGTCCTGGAAAAGGAGGGAATGGCCAGGAAGAGAAAAGACAGGGAGATTGCAAACAGGTTCAGAACAAGAAAAAACAAGTCAGAGATTCCCAAAGTCAGCAATCCTTACCTGATACAATTTTTACTAAAATGAGGCTAAAATGAAGCAAAGATACATTCCTTGCTTTATGAAAATGTTTAAACACACACACACACACACACATCCCACATGCTTAGTGAACCATTACTGTACAGAAAAACAAAGTCGTTCCCATTAGGATTCAAGTTTTCTTAAGAGAAAGTATGTGAAAATCATTTAGAACTGGTGGGGGGGCGGGGAAGAACAGGGATAGAAGCTAAAAACTAAAGGTCATAATAATTAAAATTGTATTTCATAAGCAACTTCCTAGTAACCCAAGAAAAAGTTAAATTCACATTTACAAAGGAAAATGATCCCCTCCCCCCAATCCAATTTATAATTGACTTCATTAACTATCCCAGCCTCAACTTACTTCCTGAGGCAAAGTAAAGATGGGCAAGACTTCTGTTAGTTGAAGACATTTTGCTTTTGGAACTAGTTCTATAAAGCTGCTGAGTGCGATGGTGTGATGGGAGAATTTCCACCCTTTACAGGGTGCGCACCACATAGTGGCTGAGGGGGAGGGGTAGGAAACAAAGGGCCTTTTGATGGTGGCCAGAGGAGAGAGACCACACTGTACTTGACACAGAATTCTGCTGGCCAGATGGGCGCCCGGCTCAACTTAGAGAAGCAACTGGCTGAAGAGCCAAAAGAAGATTCTACTGCCTCTCCCAGAATGAGCTTAAGAACTGGAAACTTCTGTCATCAGCGAGGAAGACACACTCAGGACAGATCTGGGGAAGAGTGGGAGAGAGAGAGTGCACAGATCATACTTTCTCTATTCAGGAATGGCATATGGATGCCTTTGCTTTGTGAAGGCAACACTTACAGCCTGTCCACACTGAGCAGTATTTATCCCTGGCAGGGAAGCTGGGAGAAGGCAGTAAGATGAAACACAGCCTCAGTGTATATTAAAACTAACAGTAAGGAGGCAACCCTCAGAGAAGGTCACACCAAGGAATTGTAAGATAGAGCCTGACCCACCCCCGTGCACTTACGACCACTGTGTGATGAAGCTTAATTCACAAGGCAAAAAAAAAAAAAAAAAAAGGCAAAAATAAAAACAAAAAGCAAACACAAAAGTAAAAGACAAAATGAAGAAAGGTAATACAGTTGGTTCTTCCACTGTAACTAAGCCTCAAAGAACATGCATTCATAACATAGGTCAGGGTAGTTGATATTCTTTTTTTTTAATTTAATTTAATTTTTAATTTTTTGTTTTTGAGAGAGAGAGTGAGAGACAGTGCAAGCAGGGGAAAGGAACAGAGGGAGAAAGAGAGGCTCCATACTCAGTGCGGAGCCTGATGCAGGGCTCAATCCCATGATCCTGGGATCATGACCTGAGCTGAAATCAAGAGCTGGATGCTCAACTGACTGAGCCATCCGAGCAAACCAAGAGAGTTGATATTTTTTTTTAATGTTTGTTTATTTCTTTTGAGAGAGAGAGAAAGTGCACACAAGTGGGGGAAGGCAGAGAGAGAGAAGGAGAGAGAGAATCCCAAGCAGGCTCAACATGGAGCTCAAACTCATGAAATGCGAGATCATGACCTGAGACAAAATCGAGAGTTGGATGGTCAACTGTCTGAGTCACCCAGGTACCCCAGTTGATATTTTTAATGCTCAATTTCCTACACCCCTTTTTAAAAATTTTATCTATCTATCTATCTATCTATCTATCTATCTATCTATCTATCTATCTAAAATCATTGCTGTGCCAGGAATAGAGACTGCAGGATGAACAACGATACTTGAACTATGAAGCAAAACATCCTCTCTCAATGACAACTGCACTCTTTCAAGTGAGAAGCCCAAGGAAGCTGCCTCTCTTCCCATGAGCTTTGTTGAGGACAAAACACTAGTGTGGCCTTCATGCTTCCACTTCAACACAGAAATTTATTATTCTAACTTAAGGATGGTTTTTGAATTGGAAAGAAGTTTAAGGCCATCAAACTCAGATACGTCACTTTGTAAGGAGGAAACTGACACACAGGTCTCCATCACACAGCAAATTAGTGGCAGAACCCAGGTCTCTGCACTCCCAACCAGGAATCTTTCCATTAAAGAAACAACTAAAAAATGTAAATAAGTCCTGTGCACAGATATGATTATTGTAGTATTATTTATAAACACAAAGCACTGAAAATAACCAAAACAGTAAAGAACAAGGGCAAGGTGAATGAATTATGATGCAACCATACGTGGAGCATTTATGTGGCCAGTAATATTACACATATAAACTCTTTTTAATGACAAGGCAAAGAAAGACTTATTGTAGAATATTTTTAAAAATCTGTATATAAATTTATATACTATTAATGAAGAAAGTGATAAGAAAATAAGACTGAAAGGAAATGTGTCAAAATGGTAAAATTCTCTGTGGAGAATAATTCAGAACATGAATGGATGGGTTGTTTTTTTTTTTTTTCCTTTAGATGATACACTATAAATTTTCTGTGCTGGAATATCCTGTGCCTGGATATCACACATGGACATGACCTTATTCTACCTGTTCAACTTTACACCACGCGATAATAATTATTAGACAGGAGTCCCGGTGGCTCAAGGGGTCCATCCAGAGTCCCTTGTCTCAACAAGGGTCAAAGAGTATTTTCATATATGTTATAAACTGTACAACTGGCTTCAACTCTTCACTCAAGCCCCCCATCACCACCATGTAATTTTGCAATGCCTTCCCACTAATCCCTACCTGGGATTGGCCACATGACTTGCTTTGGCCAAAGGGATGTTAGCTTCCTAACTCAAGTAGAGTCTTGAAATGGCCCTTGCACTACTGCATTTACACACTCATCCTACTGCCATCCTAATGAAAAGGATGTGCCAGGACAATGTACTGACTCCAGGAGAAGGGGGACAGACATGTGAAACGGTTTGTCCCCCAAATGAGCCTGACCAAGATCAGCCAACACCCAGCCTTAATTATGTGAGTGAATCTGGCTGAAACTAGCGAAATCACTCAACTGTCCTCCACCTAAAGCAGCCAACCTCCCGCCAAGGCACAGACGTATGAGCTATAATAATAAATGACTGTTGTTAAAGCTAATGGTTCTTGAGGTGGTTTGTTATGCAGCAGTATAGCTGGCTAATACAATATAGCTGAAAGTGTATGCAAGGAATTAAATCCATTATATCAGAACCTCTTGCAACAAAAGGGCTGCACCTACCTGCCATAATAGTTCCTCTAAACCATCATTTGTGAACCATATCAATACATTTGTAGATTGACTGATTAAATCTACCAGTTATGTCATAAAGTAAATGACGTCATCTGAAGAAAGTCAGCCAGTAAGAAGTTTGGTGAGAATAACATTCTAGTGGTAGTTGACATTAGAGAAAAGAGCTTTCATCCTAAATGACTCAGTGTTGGCTTATGCTCTGTTCCTCACTGGAAATAAATATCAAATCAGAGAAAACAAAATGACAAATGTAACCTATGAGGTAGAGGGTTAATAAAGGATAGAGTGAAAGGGAGTGAAGAGAACATGCATTACAATTTTTCCACCTCACCTCATTTTTGTAGTTTTATTTTATGGGTGAAAAGATCAGTAGAGCCATCGTGGCTTAGAACTGGAATTATCCTTTGATGTTTGAGTTAATGGCTAAACTACAAAAACAAAAGTCAGTACTCTTGACATCCTCTAATGTCTAAAACCTGAAGCTCAGATATTGGGTGAAAAAAAATTTTTTTCCTAAATTGTGTTTACTTGCCTTTTAAGTTTCATTTCACAAGGAAAATATCCCCCAATAAGGTCAGCAGTACATACTGTGGGGAATAAGACTAATAACCCCCATATCATCCGATTTTATTCAAATGGCTTCTTGTCAAAGGCCAAAGTCAATTGGCATGATTCTGCAGCATCACCACTTAGCTATCAGCAAGAAAATAAAAATAAGCCACTGTTGGCTGGTGGTGAACAAGTCCTTCCCATCCAAGGACGAAACGGAGCTGCTATGGGAAATGGGGCTGGACTCTAAGAGTACCCACGGCAGGGTGCACGGAGGGGCCAGAAAAGACACAAAATCGAA